GCACCGAGGGCAGCTGGGGGTAGGGGCCGCCTAAAGAGCTGCCTGTCTGTGCCAGGCTAGGCCTGCCTGAGCACAGAGGAGTCTGAGAGACCCGTCCTCGAAGGGGCAGGGCTCCCTGGTGACAGCTACAGAAGCACCAGGAGGCGGCCGCCCCCATCCTGCCTGCTGGCACTGTCTCCACCAGGGTGTCAAAGAGCGTCCCGCACCGTGTGGGCCTCACTGGTGCCCGGGAGCTGCTGATGAAAGGTGCGGCTGGGGTAGGGATGGAGGCTGCGGGGGGGCCCCAGTCGTGACTCCTGGCTCTCAGCCCCTCTGTCAGTGAACAGCCCAGGCTCCACTCTCTCTGCCAGAGTTTGCTGTGGACCATTTGCTGTAAGGAGAGAGGAGAGGGCCTCTGCTCCCAGAAGGAGGCTATAGAAATCTCTGTTGCACTTTTTTTTGCATTAACAGTTCCTTCCCGCTCCTCCCTCTCCACTCTTTGCTTTCCTAGCACAGGTGTCTCCGTGCTGCTCCTGCGCCCTGTACCTCCTCTCCTGTCCCTCCCTTGCTTCTCCCTGTCTTCCCCCTTTCTGGCCTCTCCCCCCCCCTCCCCCGGAAGGCCAGCCTGATGCTGTTCAAGTGCAATAACTTGATGACTTGCCCGGGGAGAGACGGGGGCAGAGATCATAACCTGTTTTATTGAGGACCCTCTGTGTGGCCCCAGGGAGTGGTTTTGCTCTCCCCAGAGCCCAGAGCCCAGAGCCCCCCAGCCATCAGCGAGCATCTTGGGCCTTTTCCCCCTTGGCTGGCTGGGTCTGCAGATCCTGGGTGGCCCGGCTACCTGTGCAGGCAATGAGAGCTGACCTCGGCCCCTAGGGAGTCACGCTTTGGGCACGCTTCTGGGTGTCATGGGGTCTTCCCTGACAGCCGGGGTGTCAGAGCCCACGTTTACATTTATAAGTTTATATAAACACATACTGAATGCCATCAGGGATCAGAGACTGCGCTGGGTCCTGGGGGTGTGACCTGCCTCTCTGGGCCTTCACAACTACCCTGCGAGGGAGGCTGAGCAGTGGCTATACCCCTATGAGACCCAGAAGGCAAAAGAACCTCAATAACAGGCTTGCTTCAGGCAGGCACCAGGCTGGCAGCTGGATGCATGGCTTTTATGGAGTTCACGCACGGCTTCCTTGTATCAACGCTCGGTCAGTCCGTTCAGGAGTATGCCTGGGGCCTCCAGGCACCTTGGCGTTCACAGACGTGTCCCCGGACCCCTCCCCCAACGCAGACGTGGTGCTTATTTCCCAGTGACACAATTGTGTCTGTTGTGTTCACGAGAGGGTCTGAGCCTATGCAACTCTCCAGCGTTCTCCCTTGCACACATTTGTTTCTTTCCCCCAAGTCACAAACCCAGTCATTCCTGCTAACATTCCCCCCAATTATGGCAATTGTCTGATTGCATGCTCTGATTAGACAATTACATTTGTTCATGCTAATTGCATAATTAAGACAAGCAATTACATGGGAACAATTATGAAATTTCCAGGTTCCGACTATGACTTGAGGGCCCAGCAAGGTGCCCCCATTTGTCCCCTGGGGGAAGGCAGTGGGAGCTCCAGGCATGGGGTGGGGTGGTGGTGACCATCTCTCAGTTTCCTGGGACAGCTCTAATTCTGCTGCTTCTCTCCTCATGGCCTTTAGGACCATGGAGCTCTAGACCAGGGAACCTGATCTGAAAAGCATAAATCAGCAGTTGTGGCCCTCAAAACCCCTGTCACAGGGGCACCAAGTAGCCTTGGAGACATGGAGCCTGAGATGTGGCTCTCACATGCTTCTAGAAGCCAGGCCCTTCCCCAGGACTGCCAGTGTCCTGGGCCACACCCCCACTCTCCCCACCCCCTACCCCCGGGTAGATGGTCTGAGGGGGATAGGGGTGAGACAGGCTTGTTTTCCCTTCCTCCATGCTCAGAACTCTGGCTCCTGGAACTCTTTCTCCAAAAAGTCCCATCGCCAGAGAGAGAGAGATTGCAAGCCATCCTCTCCCCCATCTCACCTTCTTTTGTGTCCTGCAGAAGACACAAACTTTGGCCCCCTCCAGGAAGCCTTCTTAGATCAGCTCTGCTCTGGGCATCTCACATGGTATGTCCTTAATCCTGGTCATCCCATGCTTTGTCCACCACAGGGTCCTCCCCTCCAGAGGCTGGGAGCTCCCAGTTGGCCCCAGGGAGAAGGCTCATCCCCAAGTTACTCCCTCCATACAAATGCCCTGATATCATGGAATCCAAGGGGCAGACACACACTGTATGCACATTTGCAAATTCTGTCTTATTCAGATGCAACAAGGGAGTTGACTATTTAAAGAAAACTATAGCAGATCCTTTGGTAAAGATTAGAATCACTTGCTGATTTATTCTTTGTGTAATGTTGGATTTTCATCTCTCTAGGGGAAGAGGGAGGGGTAAGGGAGAGCCTGCAGGCAGGTTTATATCTTTCCACAGCCTGCCATACGGGGGCCCTGCACCCTCCTGCATAGCTCAGTGTGTTTACATGTTATCATCATTCAGAAGACGTGATTTGAAACCTCCTCTGTACCCGGCCCTGAGCTGGTGGTAGGGGCTAGAAAGACTGGTTAAGACTCACTCCCTTCTGATGGTCAGTGAGGGAGACAGAGATGCGTGCCAGGTGCATCCGCACAGGTGCAGGGAGGTGGGACTACCTCCACCCAGGACTGGGGAAAGCAGAGAAGGCTTCATGGAGGAGGTGGTTTTTAACCAGCATTTAAGACTTCACATGGGACACGCGGGTAGAGGAAAGGTCAGGTGGTTGGCTAGAGCGGGAAGCAGTGAAGTTTGGGTGGCAAGCAGGGCTGGGCCGTGGTGCCCTGGACTGCTGGCCTGAGGCGGCTAATTTTGATTCCAAAGGCTAAAAACATTAAACTGGATGGTGCTACGCAGAGGAGGGACTTGGCTCACTTTTATTTAGGAAGACCCCTTTGGCTGCTGCACGAATGGACCCAAGGCGGGTAGGACTGGACAGAGGAGATGAACTATGAATTCTGAGCCACAGACAGTGGCAGGTGAATTGGCTTGGGGTCAGTGCAGATGCAGACAAGCTGTGGGTTTGGGAGACCTTTCTGGAGGAGAAGGGAAATATCAAGAGGGTTCAGTTAAGGGAGAGGAGGAGGAAGGAGGTGTGGAAGCAGCAGGGGCCTGTGGCAGCACTCTGGTTGGTGGGAAAGGGCAAGATGTCAGAGATTTCTCGACTTGTGGACTTGGTTTCCCTATGGACTAGAATTTGGGTCACTGCCGAGAGTGGGAACGTGGTCTGAAGCTGCCAAGGCCCAAAGAGAGGGGTGGTGTTTGGAGCGACCCTGGGCAGGGATCAGGGCTGGGTGCTGTGGGAGAGCAACATCTGGAAAGTCCAAAGGTGTTGGCAGCCTGGAGGAGATTTTTTTAAAATGTTATTTGTTTTTGAGAGAGAGCATGTGCAAGCGGGAGAGGGGCAGAGAGAGAGGAAGACAGAATCCAAAGTGGGTTCCAGGCTGTCAGCACAAAGTGCAACATGGGGCTCGAACCCACAGGCTGTGAGATCTCATGACCTGAGCCGGTGGGATGCTCTACTGACTGAGCCACCCAGGCACCCCTGGCGCATTCAAGTGTAGCCCAGGCTGAATGGTGGAGAGGAGAGGAGGAGGAAGAGGAGAGCTTGCCGAGCATAGTGGAGAACAGAGAGTGAGGGAGCCGGAAGGGACTCCCTGGCAGAAAAACCACCCCACTGGCAGCAAGATGTCACCCAGATCTTCTTTGCGATCACTCATTTCTAAAATGCAATTATGATACTACCTTCTTCCTGGGCTTAAATGTGCCAGCATATATATAAAGGGCTTGACCCAGGACACCTTAGATGTAGCTGACATGGTGGAGGCCCCATACATGTTCCTTATTCACCTTGGAGCCCTGGGGGTCTGCCGAGTGCCCAGCACACCCAAGGCCCCCAGCAGATGTTCCATGAGGCAGCAGGCACTGATGGTGGAGACACAAGCTATGCTGCCTGTCGTGTGATTAAGCTGAGCTCCGCGGTCTCCTCTGGCAGATGGTGCCTCACCCAGGTTGTGAGGATTCGACGTGGCAAGGCCCCCGATGCAGACACGGGTGGTGAAGCCCTTCTGGCCTCTCTGTGCTCACGTTCCTGAACGCCTGAGGCACCCCCCCACCCCTACCTCCCTGCCAGCGGCTGCAGATCTCTACCCAAGGGTTTTCTCTGGTCACAGGAGCAAGGCACCTGGGCGGGCCGCACAGCCAAGGGGTTAGCACCCCCACCAACCCGGGCAGGGGCCCAAGCACACAGATCCAGTACATTGCAGGTGGATACTATGCAGCCTTCTGGAGCCCCAGCAGGATTGAAGCCTCCCGGTTACTCACAAGGGCAACCGGCTCATTGCTTCAGCCTTGTCTTCCCTCGCTTCCCGGTCTCACCTCCTCACCTCCCTGCTGCATCCTGGGATCACCTCCCAACTACATACGTGCCCTCGAATCCCTGTCTCAGGGTCTTCTGGGAAACTCAATCCAAGGGAGCGTGTACAGTGCTTGACAGAAAGGAGGCACCTGATAAATGTTAGCTGGCTCACTAGGCTGAAGGGCTTCGTGAGGACAGAAAGTATCCATTGTGATAGCATCTCTCCTTAGGGATGGGTCCTGGCGAAGAAGGCACCCAACATCTATGCGTTGAATGAATCAGTGAGGACATATTTCCTTTTGCCCTCTCTCCCGTTAAACCCTCCTGTGCCCTGCCTTTCCCACTCTCCGTTCTCCCCAACCTGCGTTCACTTCCTGGCCCCCCTTTTCTCCTCTTCTTGCCTCCTTTCTCCCTTCATGGAGAAAGAAACAAAGGGAGAAATGTCTGTCTATCTTTGCCAAAGTCCCGCTCTCAGAATGAGCCCCCCTGCAGCATTGTGACATCACTGTGCATTAGCCAATGGCTGCCATTTGGGCTGCCCCCCCCCCACCTCCGGGGACCACCGCCCTCCATTGATAGGGAGAAGTCATCTTCTCGGGCACCTCCAGCCCTTAACCCTCAGGACAGCTGCAGAGCATGGATCCCTCCTGATTCCATTGTCGGCCCGATGTTCCTCACAGTCAAGCTGCTTCTGGGCCGGAGATGCAGCGTAAAGGTGTCAGGGCAAGAGAGTGTGGCCACGCTGAAGAAGCTGGTGTCGGAGCGACTGCAGGTGCCCGAGGAGCAGCAGCACCTGCTCTTCCGAGGCCAGCTTCTGGCCGATGACAAGCGTCTCTCCGACTACTGCATCGGGCCCAATGCCTCCATCAATGTCATCATGCGGCCCTTGGCAAAGTCAGCTGCCAAGGAGGAGGAGGAGGCCCGCCAGTCCCAGCCCCTGTGGCACCATCTGGGCCTGGTCCTAGCCAAGCACTTTGAGCCCCAGGACACCAAAGCGGTGCTGCAGCTGCTGAGGCGGGAGCACCAGGAGCGCCTGCAGAGGATAAGCCTGGGCGACCTGGAGCGGCTGGCGCAGCGCCTCCTGGTGGAGGAGCCGATAGTGGAGCCCGCGGGGGAGAAGGAGCCCAAGGCGGAGACCTCAGAGCCCCAAGACAAGAAGAAGGAAGAGGAGGAGGAGGAGGAGGAGGAGGAGGAGGAAGCAGAGAAGAAGGAGGAGGAGGGGAAGGCTGATCAGTAAACGGGCCCATCCTACTCATTTACGTGTTCAAATCCACCTGGTCTCATCCGTGTGTGTTCCCTGGTGACTCCCCTCTAGTTCCTGCTGAGAGAGATGCATCCGCACCCCTTTCTCAAACTTCAGAGCAGCTGGACCCCTCTGTCCTCTCTTGGGTCTGTGGTACCCCCTCTGAGACACAGTATGATTCTTCCCCCATTACCATCCCTGGCAGGGTCCTGATCACCCCTGGGTGGCCTTAAGGGGATGGTCAAAGGCAGCTTCCCCCTCCTGGGCTGGACACCCCCAGGCAACCTTCCAGGCTGCAGCAAACCTCCTGCCCAGAGCCTCCATGGCTTTAGACTGACCTTCTTTCTCCTTTGGGGCAGAAAGAGATAATGCGAGTTCATTTTTGTCTGTCCCCAGGCCGTGGCGCCTGCCTTCAAGGTGTCCGAGAGCCAAGATTTGAGGAACATCAGGCAACGGCACCCAGCCTGCTGTGTGAGGCTGAGCCTCACTTGTGCTTCCACTGCTCAAGGGGCAGGGCTAGCAGAGGCAGGGGTGAGGGGAGCACCTATTGGGTGTCCGGCCTGTATTCTTAGGGAAGCACACAGACCATGAGGAGCAGGGGACAGAGGCTAGGGCAGAAAAGGTGCTTGTCACAGTCACTCACTGTGGGCAGTATGACAGACCCCTGCCTCACCCCCTGCTCCAAGTCTCATCCATCGGTGGGTGTCCCTGAGCCCCCCTTGCTCCCCGGGAACAAGAATGGTACCAGTTGGCATCCTTGCACTCACAGAGCATGTGGCCTGGACAGAGAGACAGGGCAGAAAAGTGACAAGTAAAGCAGCACCATGAAAACAGAGTACAGCCCGTGAGACTGAATACCCAGGTGAAGCTGCCACCTCGCAGGGCCCTGGGCTCAGCTTGGAGGGCCCAGCCTCGAGGGCTGCAGGAAAGCCAGGCTTCTTCCTCCCTTCTGGTGTGAGAGAGTGGTGCTTGCCAAGGGCCGAGGAGCCCCCGCCCTGGGTGTGAGGGGGCACGGAGCTCCCTGAGAGCCTGTCCTCCCCAGTCCCTGGGGAGCTGTTACTGTGGTTCTGTCCTGTGCTGGAGGTGGAGGGAAGAGCACAAAGGACAAGGTCCTAAAAGGAACATGCAGGGCCCAGTTCCCTGGAAACCTGTCCTTGGCCTAGGGGCCCTGTGACGGATTCCAGTCCTAGCTCAGCCATGGCCTCACTGTGTGACTTTGGTTAACTTATATTCCCTGTCTTGTGCAAGGTTTTGCACCTGTCACGTGAGGATTGTTAAACAATGCGGGTCTGAACGTATCCACTTCTAGGTGGATATTTTTCGATAAATACAACACGGTACTGTAACTGTATTTTCCTTGGGATTTTCTTTTTCTAAATTATTTACTTATTTTTAAAATATTTGTTTAATGTGTGTTTATTTTTGAGAGAGAGAGAATGAGTGGAGGAGGGACAGGAAGAGAGGGAGACAGAGGATCCAAAGCAGACTCTGTGCTGACAGCAGCAAGCACACTGTGGGGCTTGAACTCACGAACCGTGAGATCATGACCTGAGCCCAAGTCAGACGCTCAACCGCCTGAGCCACCCAGGTGTCCCTCTCTTATGATTTTCTTTTCTTTTTTTTTTTTAATGTTTTATGTTTATTTTTGAGAGAGAGAGACAGAGACAGAGCACAAGTTGGGGGAGGGGCAGAGAGAGAGAGGGAGACACAGAATCTAAAGCAGGCTCCAGGCTCTGAGCTGTCAGCATAGAGCCCCATGTGGGGCTCGAACTCACAAACCATGAGAGCATGACCTGAGCTGAGGTCGGATGCTTAACCGACTGAGCCCAGGCACCCCTATGATTTTCTTAATAACAATTTCTTTCCTCTTGCTTACTTCATTGTAAGAATATGGCATATAATACACACTACACACAAAATATGTATTAATGGACTGCTTATGTATTGGTAAGGCTTCCGGTCAACAGTAGCCTATTACTAGATAAGTTTGGTGAGAGTTAAAAGTTATGCGTGGACTTTTGACTGGGTGGGGCGGGGAGGGTCGGTGCCCCTAAACCCTGTGTTGCTTGAAGGTCAACTGCCTTATGAAGCCAGACACTGTGTCGGCCCCTTCTGTGACCGCAGGAGAGAGACGAGAATTCCCCATCTCAAATGAGAGCAGGAGGAAGTATGTGATTTAATCAGGGTTTTCACATTGTATTGACCTTTTCATCAGCCTGTTATTACCAGTCAGGCAATACCAATAGTATCTACTTTGCACACAGATGTTTGTGAGGGTTAGTTATGAAGACAGTGCAATCCAGGGTGACGTCTTCTAGCAGAGGGGCCCATGGCAGGGCGGGGAGGGACCCCGGAAAGCAGGTCTCTGGCTCTGTGAGCCTGCTTAGTGGCAGAGCGACGCTCATTCAGCCAATGCCCAGCCCCTCCACCAGTGCCCCAGCCCCTGCCCCCAGCAGCCAAGAGGAGAGGGAAGTCAGGCCTCGGAGGGAGAGAGCTTGTCAGGTGTGAGCTCTCCCCGGGGCCCTGAGGGCTCGGCCTGGGGCGGCTGCCGCCAGCACCCACAGGCTGGGGTGCGAAGGCACCAGCCTGCTCCTCGCTCCCTCGCTGGCCCTGCTCCTGCTCCCAGGAGAGGCCTTCTGGAGGTTCGGTGCGCGTGTTTGTGCTGGGGCTGTGCCATTTGCCGAGGGGGACAAGCCTATTATCTTTACATTAGGGGAACTAATAGCCCATTTCCCAAGAAATCTGTGGGCGATAAAAATAAGTGAGCCGTTTTATTCCTCTTGCTGAGAGAAGCTGGCATGAAGGACGGGGAAGCCTTTGTTTTCTCTCTAGTTAGTGGGAGTGTCAGGGCCGGTGAGAGCAGCCAGCCACCTCCAATGCATCTGTCCCCAGTGCTGCAGGGGGGGTGACTCCCATCCCCAAGGAGCAGAAGGAAAGGTGCTCTGCTCTTCATGCAGTGGATGCCTCCTGCTGCCGACGCTGCCCTTCCCAAGGCCCCCCGACCCCCTCCCACAGGAGCTGAGCACAGGAGAGGGTGTGCATGCACTAGCACTTGGCACTTCGTGAGAATGTGCTTGTGCTTCCGTCGCCGACCTCTCCCTGGGACGTTGTACTCAATACCAAGATCCTCGCTGTGCGCCCCAGCAGGAGAATTTATAGGCATCAGGGAGCGGCAGGTGGTGCATTAGGAGGCTGGAGCCAGAAACTCCATAAATAGGTGAGAACCCTATTCTGTATGGAGGACTCTAGCTTCTGGGCTGCCTGTCTTGGAGGTCCTTCTCTGTGCCCAGTTTCACCTTATTTCAAGTTTAAATCTGTACCAGCGAACCCACTGAAGGCTCCCTGTTCCCTTCTCGGCTTTCGCCAGTTGAAGGATGGTGGGAATGGGAAAGGTGCTCTTTCTAAACTGCAGCCTTAGGCATATAGCTCCCGCTTAATTTCCCACAGCACCTCTCTCCCACCGGAAAGACACATAGGTCCCCCCGCACACACCCCAAGTACTAACTTTGCTCAAGTAGGAAGCATCTCAGGACAGCCAGCTTTGTGTCTCTATCCACAGAAGGATCTGGCTTCTCCTGGTTCCTTCATTCATCACCTCCGGGCCAACGCCCCCTGGTTCCTGGCAAAATGGTCTTTCCGATGGAAACAGGCACAGCTTCCTCGTTCATGTGTTATTTGATCATCCCTTTGTTCTTACATCAAGAAACACTGGTGTGGTTCTACTGTGTGCCAGGCTTTGTGTTAGGGACTTAGGCTGGCAGATGAGCTCTGTCTTTCTGACGAGGCAGAAAGGAGCTGCACGGTACAGCAGAGGGGATTCAGAGAAGCCCCCATGTCCCACCACAGCCCCTGTTGAGTTGTGATGTGCAGGTTGCTCTCAGAACATGGCCGTTGCCCCTAGTCCTAAATGATGGGGCAGGGAATGGTCTTTCCAGATAGAAGCTCTTGTAGATGTTGGAGAAGCCAGGGACTTAACAGTGTTCCAGGGGCTACAGAGACCCTGGCTGCCTGGTTTTAGTAAAAGCAAGTCACAGGTCCTGCCCACAGTCTTGAGGAAGAGATCTCACACAGGCACCGACACCAACAGAAGGAGATCATGGGGGCCATCTTGCAGCCTGTCTACCACAGTACATGTTGTGTATATAGTTTTGTATATATGAATGACATCATTGACGGGAAGTCAACTAAAGGGTTAGGTTCAACCCTAAGCTGTGGGGGCACAGGTGAGTGGTCACTCCAGGTGAGCCTCAGGGAGGCTTCAAGGGGGAGGTAGCATTTGAGCCAGTGAAGGATGGGAAAGGAGGGCAGTCGAAGGACACGTGAGGGTTCACATTTCACACCTAGGGAACTGTCGCTTGGCTCAGCACACCCAGCTTCTGACCTTGCTGGGTGCCTCATGACAACCCCAGCCACACGGACACACCCAAGATGCACACCCATCCTGTAAACACAAAGACACCCCCTAAACCCCAAACCCATAGAGTAGGGTGTACGGACGGTGGCAGAGCCAGGTTTGTAGAGTAAGCTGGAGGAGGTGTGCCGCTCGCAGGGTTAGGCTCCACATCTTGCCTTTTGGGGCTCTGGCTGCCGGAGCCCAGCTGGCCCGGCCCAGTCAGGAAGCCCGGTGAGAAGATCCCACAAAGCATATTCAAGGACAGAAAGGAGGACTTTGCAGAGCCAAACCCAGGAGCTATTGGGGCTGCAGGAAGAGGTGGCATGGACCAACTTTTTGTGGGTCCAGGTGATGTCGCATGTAGTCAGGACACACATGAAGCTGGACACGTGGGTGCCCACGTGCGTTTACTGGGTGGCCGCTGGGCTTTGCAGGGGTACCTGCACGTGCACGTCAGCCTACGTACGTCAGAGAACAGAGACCCTCTTCTCTGTGTGAACCCTCCGAGGCGGCATGCTTGCCCTTCAGCTCTCTGCCC